ACCTACCTACCTACCTACCTACCTACCTATCTGCCTACCTACCTACCTACCCACCTACTTATTTACCTACCCACCTACCTTCGTTTATCAGTGCTACACATGACATAAAAGCAAATCAGAACAGGAAATCAATACTATATTATTATTGCAGCCCCACCTTTTTTTTAAGGTAGGGATATCGTGTATACAAATGACCACCAACCCAAACATCATGTCGCTGACATGTGAATGACATTTTTGTGAACATTAACCCATCAACCACTCACCCATTGGAGCCCCCCCCTCCTCCATCCTTTTACTTTAAATACATTATTGCCTTGCTAATCAAACAAGGTCGTATTGAATGTAAGATCGTATTTTTGGTTTCTAGCATCTATTTCGACCAGACAAAATCCTATATTCAATAGACCACCATGACATCATCATCTCATCATCATCATCATCATCATAACCTGTAGAAGCAGTTGCAACAACAACCGCAGCAGCTATATTATAAGCAAAATTCAGTTCGAATAATTCTTAATTAAAATTCTAATCTGATCATCGATACCACAATGATTGTTAGCAAAGGCAGTAGTTGCATCAGTAATGACGTCAACAAACAGTAGCCACAACAACAGCAGCAACAACAACTAGAAAAAGACAGCAGGAGCAGCAACAACGTCAACAAGCAGAAACAACAAGAAGCATAAGGTCAACCTTAGAAGCAGCAGCAGCAATATCATTCAGAACAACAGCAACACTCAAAACAACAAAACAAACACCAACAACAACAACAACAATAATCACCCTATAGATACAAATTACACAAAAATGACCCCTTCACCTTTCTGAATACTGTGGAGATAGCTGCACTTTGCATTCTGATTGCAACTGACACCGTCATGAACTGAGCAGAGTACTCCATGAGGCACGTAACGAGTCTGGTTCCCACAAGGCCAAGGACAAATACATAGCCGTGCCACGCCCTCTCTTCCATATTGTCTATGTAGCTCATTAGGAGACTGGGGTTAGGGAGGGGGCGGGGAAGGGGGGTTTAAGATAAACACAACACGTACAAACTAGTGTCAGCAAATGGGAAGAGCTGGGAAAACTTCCAGGATCTTAATGAGCTTAGCCCAGTGCCGCACTATTACAAAACAGCTGGCAAACTTTTGTCGGTAAATTACAGCCAATGGAAAAAAAAACCCCTTCCGTACCGCACAACAAAATTATTCAGCCATCCTTCTCTTATCTTCATTGCCCACAGCTCTCCAGCAAAATTCTTATTATTCCACTGCTTGTTGGCAAGCCAAACAGTTGCAAATGACTGTAGCATGATTATGCACCCACAGAGAAGAGTAGAGTATTTAAGAGTCAGGCTCCCTGCTTGGAAGAGCCAACAAGGTCTGGTGGATAAGGTCTGTTCATAAGCCAATCGTTTCTTGAAGCTTCTATGTGTTTGTTGAGAAGTATAACTTAGAGCCTTGAAATACAAAATGACATTTAATACAGGTGGATAGGTAACGGACAACAAAAATGTCCAAAAAAAAAAGACAAGCAACTGTTCCTTTAATAGTAAAACTGTGTCTTGAAAAAAGAAAAAAAGCTTAAAAAGGATTTAGAAATGGGTTAGTTTAAGATAGCTATTGGCGCTTTTTATAGCAAAATGTTTGATAGTTGTGGGTATTAGGAACAAAGAACTTATGATGACCACAGCGATGATGATGATGATGATGATGATGATTGATGATGATGATGATTGATGAAGATGATGATGATGATGATGATGATGATGATGATGATGATGATGATGATGATGATGGGGATGCTTTCAAGGCGAAAACATTGAGCCATTTTAACAACCAAATGAAAAATAAAAAAAATATATATAGAAGTCGAACCCGTGTAACACAGAATCGCAAGGGAGCCAGAAAAAGATACCGTTTTAGACAGGACATCTCCTTTGCTTCCACCCTTAGCCCCACCCACGGGTGTAATAAGCACAGTAAACTTATGCCACCCCTCACTGCCAAGTAACAATGATTCGAGGAACTCTTTCCTTGGCTGGCTGTATGATCAGGGCGGCAGGTATTGGTCAAACTTATTTCACACCTCTGGCCTCTGGCTACCAATGAAAGTTTTCGTGCTGGAACGCCACTTGAGCACTTTCAATGGCATTCATGAGATTTCACATCCACACCATCCTGACCATCTTCATTGCTCAGGGTTCACAAAGATGGAGTAACATCTACCCTCAAATTGCACCCCTACTCACCTTCCTCGCCTGGCAGCATGACGTCAAGTTTAGAGCTGGCAGAACAATCTTGCAAGTTTTGTTTCAAATCATGGCTGAGTGGGCAAAGCATTTTCCATCTTAGAGAGGTAAAACCCTCGGAAGGGAGTGGATTTTTCTTTCCATTTCAGCGTTGGACAGGTTTCCTTTTTTTACAGCAAATTAAAGAGGAACTTATCAAAGGGGAAGCGGAGAGATTCTGTTAAGACAAGTTTCCGTTTTACACAGGTTTCCGTTAAGGCAGGTTCGACTGTATTTACTGACTGAAAAATATCTAAAACTCTCTTTCTCTTCTCTGCTTTTTGTATAACGATGATGATAATGATGGTAAGGATGAGGATGGGAATAATGATGATAAAGGTAATGTCGATAACAGTTTTAGAACATGACTATTCTTTGAGCCCCCAAAGTTTCATTTACTTTCCTCGACAAGCTGACATCCAATATCGAAACACTCACCCAAGCAGAAAAGGGTTTGCGATGTCTCCAAGCACTGGTAATGAGAACTGTAGATGACTTTTCAGCATCTTGAACCAGTAACACTGAACCAAGGCCAAGAAAAAAGACCTTTTACCTCTGGATTCCTCCACTGTCATCTCATCACACACATTTTTAGCATTCTCAATGCTCAAGCTATGACTGTAGAGCTTAATATTGCTTGAGTACAGCTGACCCTTGTTAGAGTTGATGTTTGAATCGTAACTTTTTCCTGCAAGTAACGGTGTGGCTTCATTGTAAGGTTCTTCGTCCAAAGCTTTCTTTCTGGTTCGTGTTCGCCTACGAAAAAAACAAACCCATAACATTTTCATTCAGCCTACAAATATACAGATAATTCATTGTGAGTGTGTTTTACCCATGTCAACATAATTCAAACCGTTTATGAGGTAAGCTACTTCGATACTGTCTGTCAGGGACAACCTGAGCGGAGGGGGATACAATTTACCAGTGCACAGTAGGAGGTACTCAATGAATTAGCTTTTCCACATTCATTTCTTTTGCAAGAAACATCAAAGAGTCTAAACAATACACTAGAGACGTTGGTCATTCAGCCTGCTCCAACAAGCTGATATATTTGATCATGAATAAGTCATTCTAATGGGGCTCTGAAGATCACATCCACTGGAGAGACGAACGAGTTGCACCCAAAAAAGGTTAAAGTGATATTGTGGCTATTTCCTCATAAATTACGTTAAAATGTAAAGGTTCCCAGATTCGTAATCATGATCTTGTGGGTTTGGGATTCGAGACTTAGCTCAATCCAACAGTGCGGCCTTAAGAAAAGTCTACTTGTGAAGTTAGTTAAAGTGCTTTGCAAAAATTCTCCTTACTCATCCAGATGTGAAAGGACACCTGGCTATTGACAGCGAAAAATCTTGTTAGAGTGTTGGTGTTTTAGCGCCAGTAAAATGACAGCCAGCACTTCTTTCCTGGGAAGCTGAGAAAGTTTCTGAGTGTTTTAGGGTCTGCTGGAGTGACAATAGTAGTACAGTGCATTGAGCATGCTGTATAGTGTGGTTATGTGTTATTGAAATTATTATTCTTATAATTATTCTCATAATAATATTACACTATTGTTATTATCATTATTAAAATACTGCAGAGGTTTTCAGCCAAGCCCGGATTCTGTATCCATGATCATTAGAATAGGCTAAGTAAGTCCAATACTGTTGGCAAGGTGTCATAGTATAAAGCTCCTACCTTGACTTTGGAGAACTGGATGATTGGGTTTGCCAGTAGCAGAGGAACTCCTGCACCACGGGTTCACTTGTGTCTTGAACTCTCAAAGGAAACACGTCCTCAGCTTTTAATGTAAATCGGAAACCTCTAATAACCAACCTGAAGAAAGATAATGTCCCAGTTGGTCTTTAAAAATAAAAAAAAATTTTTAGATAGAAGTTTACTGGGGAAAAAAATATGCACGTACAATGTACATTGTAGGCATATAAAAATAAAAAAAAATTTTTAGATAGAAGTTTACTGGGGAAAAAAATATGCACGTACAATGTACATTGTAGGCATAACAATACATATAATAATAATAATAATAATAATAAATAAATAGTATCTGTATAGCAAATATCCCTGCTCAACATCAGGCTCTATGCGCTTTACACTATATTATTACCTCAGCAGACCATAGAACACTCCGAAACATTCTCAGCTTCCCGGGAAGCATACAGTGCAAGCAGCTGATCAAGCGCTCAAACACTAACAAACTGACAAGATCTTTCGCTGTCTATAGCCTGGTACTCATTCCCACCTGGGTGAAGTGAGGAAAATTTGTTTAAAGTGCCTTTCCAAAGGACACAGCATCGGGTCCCTGACGGGATTCGAACCCACGACCTTATGGTTGTGAGTCCGAGAGCCTAACCACTAGGCCACCGACGCCCTTAGAATGTGAAAGATAATCACATCCATAATATTTCGCTACCTTAGAATTACAAAGTTCTTTTAGGTCAAATTTCTCAAAACTACGAGGTACTGTGAAGAAAGAACTTTGTAATTCTAATAGGGCTTATCAATGTATTTCATAACATTCCAAATATTTGTAGTATCTCCCAAGCTTATAAATGTACATCTTAATATTTGTAGTATCTCCCAAGCTTATAAATGTACATCTTTCTTTCTTACTTTTTATTTTCATTTTGAGGCGAGCTGAGAAAATGAATTATTTTTTGGATTTAAGACCTATGGACATAGATACATCAAATAAATTCACATGTTAAGTTTGTACAATCGTTATTAAACAATAAAAGATATGTTGAACTTGAAAATCTTCTGCTTTGATTCAATTACAGGTGCCTAAAAACAAATAGATAATAAATTATACATAACTTAGATCAGCCTCTGACAATCTAATTCTTAAAACTCCAAAACAAACACACTGTGAGACTGGAGAAATAGCGAGTGAGAATGAGAGAGAGAAAAAGAGAGAGATAGAGAGAGAAAAGAGAGAGAAAAGAGAGAGATAGCGAGAGAGGGAGAGAGAAAGAGAGAGAGAGATAGAGGGAGAGGGAGAGAGAGAGGGGGAGAGAGAGAGAGAGAGAGAGAGAGAGAGAGAGAGAGAGAGAGAGAGAGAGAGAGAGAGAGATAGAACGGAAATGTTTTTCTATCTGTATAGAATTAATGTTTTAATGAATGTTTCTAGTTACTCACGTTTCAACTGTATTTTGACTGTTCGTGAATTTATATTGCATTGTATATTTTTAGTGAACACATTTTCAACCTCACTGCGAGACTGTTTTTCTGGTATAAAATTTTACACACATGCATTTATATTATATGTATAATACTTTGTTTTACGTACACATTTGTGTCGATTAATTTTAATTTTTAAGATGTGATGTCTTTTTCATTGTAATGCGCATTGAGCATCTTTTAGGAAATGGAAATGCGCAGTATAAATGCTATTTATTATTATTATTATTTGACAATTTTACATGCTACATGTAAGTGCAGAGTATGGAAATGTCCAATATGCCCTGATGAGCTGATGAAAGTGTTCAATCTATTAGTGAAGTCAGTTTATGTTACTGATATGGATGAACAAATATTGAGTTATACAAACAATTCCAAAATGAGTAAGGACTAGCTGTTCATTTTTTTACTTTGCACAAGTGCACGCACACATGCATACATTCTACACATAAATGCAAACACACTAATGCACACATAAATACACTTGCGGACACACACCGTGTCATCCAAGATATGATGAGCCATGACAGGGGAGACGCTGTTATTGCCGGGTGATGTTCCTGTGGGGACAAAAAATGTGTATGACATATCATTGCAGAAACCTATATATTATTCTCTCAACAGTAGTGTCCAGGTTTTAAAACATCAAATGCAAACATACTCTTGAATGCACACACATATGCACTCTATCTGCTGCTCTTTCTCCTCTCTCTCTCTCTCTTTTTCTCTTACCCTCTCTCTCTCTCTCTCTCTCTCTCTCTCTCTCTGGGAGAGAGAATCTCTGTTTAGGGGTTCTAAACCACCCTTGGCGCTGGGTGGTGAAGGTCGCGCCAACAGTATGCACCAGAACATTAGGCGCCCTCTCCCCCCCCCC